AATATCTCGGAAGTTGGGTTGTTGGAACTACACATTCCTTGTGACATTCTGTAGGTTCTCTCCTTAATTTCAGTTATTTGGAAACGCGACGATATTCGCCAACCAATGTACCAAATCAGCAAAAATTAATCAACATAATTTTATGTTATTTTATCTGCTTTCTCGGAGTCTCCAATCCCGGATGTCCGATAATTGGAGCCTTAAATTCTTCGCGACCTACTATAGTGTCATTCTAAATTTAGATACTCGTAAACACAACATGCTAATGAGAATAAGCAAACATTACTTAAAAATAACATCTTGATTTGAAAACTTTAAACCTCGTGCCCGAAGCAACACGTCTCTAACGCCTGGACGGCAGTTTCAATTCCTCACAAAAGCTTACGTGCACCTGTTGTGCCAAAAGGAGGACAAAATTACTTTGTTACAGAAGAAATTCTCTTTTGTTCCCGAAGTTCCTCGAACCCTGGGAGTTGGTCTTTTAGAGCCACACATCCCTTGCGGCCTGCCCTAGATTCCAGCCTCGATTACACGCAAACACGATGTAACGCGTTAACACCTGTTATACCGAACGAACTACGAAGTACGTATTCCTCGAAAAAGAAAGCTCATTTTTTTATCCTCATAAAGAGAAAAGTTTCCCTATAGTGAAGTGAGCTCTTTGGAATCCTCGTCTCTGATTCAATCTTTATAAAATTAAAGAATCTAAATTAATTGTAACATCTATATGATTCTTTTGTGAAGCACGATTTGTTTCAGAAAGTTCGCAAAAATGTATAAGAGCTGCGAAGAATAATGAACGCAGTGCATTCCACCCCGAAGCCTTTCAACCAGTGCCTTTTCACGCGTCATTTAATGTAGATGCGATAGTTTCCACTCATCTCTCTTTTCAACAGACGCAGAAACTAAGAGAGCTATCCTCAACCCGACCGTGGCCTACATCACATAAGTTACATGTGGTTTGTTAGTAGCCAGCTATCAGTGCAGTGATAGGCAGATCTGGGGGCTTCTTCTCTACGTCACAATATTTACAGACGATCTCTTAGATGCTTTTTTACAACGACATTGTAAGTTTTTTATCTTTATTTATTCATTTACTAGTGGTCCCGACAATACTTCGCTATTGCAGTGTTTTACACATCGCAAATTACTGGCCATGTGATAGTTAACACCTTTTATGCTGCGCTGTGCAAAATTTCAATTAGATGAAAGGCTTTTTGGCAAATATTCGTTTGTTCTATGTCCTGGTTTGAACACGTTTGTCAAGTATCCTATTATTCAAACATTATCCCTGAAGTTTGGGCACGCGTTCGCTATGACATCTTCTTGAATAGATTTGATTTACTCGTCCGAGATTCAAGAAATAATTTCGGACTACATTTGAAAATCGCAGGGGCAGAATATTTGTGTGCAATTAAGACGTTCCTAATCCTTAACTGTGTGGCTAGTTGCGTAGAGCGCAAGGGTGCTTGAGTCATCATAAACTAATAAATCTTCATCATCAACACCCGCCACATGTCCTACTTAATTAAAACATTCTTTAAACACTTCCATTATTAATAAGAAAAAAGTGTTAACATTTCAACGACATTGGTTGAGTACCTTTTGCGTCTATATGTGACGCACATACGCACATTGCCTTGTATTTATATATAGATATAGATATTCATTTTTGGAACGAACTGCGGATCTGCCTATGATGCCACCCGGAAACAACTCGGTTGACACGCGTGTGTAATCATGGCCGCATGAAAATAACGCGCAGTTATTGCTATATAATTCAAAATCAGCGAAGAAGAATTACTCCAAGATTTCTTAGACTCTACTTCGACAGTTTTTACCCGAAATCTTCCACACCTCACGTCCTCGCAGAATTCCTTTCAGCCTTCGCAGATCCCTAGGAAGGTAATGCGACACTCCACCCCGTTATCTTTTACCCCTGTCGTTTTATTCGTCAAATAAGTCACACCACCCGGTCAATTTTTACTCCATGGCATGCAAAAAATAATTTACTGGTGTCTATTTGTTTACCTGATTGATAACTTCTTCTTCTTCTTCTTCTTCTTCTTCTTATTATTATTATTATTATTATTATTATTATTATTATTTGAATTCGTGTTTAATGGTGTCGGAAGTTAAGGGGCGACACGCGCTGGCTACTGAATAAATTATTTCATGTAAAATACAATCAGTTCAAGAAAGGTTTGACACCCTTCTTAAATGCAATCGCTTTAGGGAGATGGTTGCACTAATTTGTGTCCGTGTCATCTCACTGTATTGTGTCATGTAATTTACAAGTAGTCATTTTTATTTCCGTATTATCTCTTATTTATTTTTTGAAAGGCGGCGAATATTATCTTCACGCAAAGTATGCCAAAGTAAACGAACTGAGGGCTATAGATTTATTTGCGTGTCTACAAATATTCTACCCGTAGTAAGACGAATGGCATGCAATATTATCACCAACATCAACATAATCGTCGTCATTTACACACACTGGCTTCTTTGGTAAGTAAAACTTTTGGGACGCTCAAGCCACTTTTGAAAATAAGTTATTGAAATGCCGATATATCTGGGAAATTTGATTTTCAATCAGAACGGTTTACTACATTTATTGAAGTTAACAACGTGCACGCCTAACGTTTAAAAGATCAAGTTCATGAAAATAATACTACACTCTAACTATAAACTTAGAAAAGTATTCAATTCAAATACATAGTCACACACATTCTATTGACGCAAGCAGTACTGAATTAATTTAACCTACATCAAATTCTAACAAATTTGTACTGCTGACTGAACTAAACATTACTAATGAACGTTTACTGCCGGTAATAAATCTGGCTGCTAATTCGTCATCAGTTGAGAATGTGCATCAAATCTTCATGTGTGTGGGACAAATTATTCAATCGTTTCTGTGCCATCAGTTTCTTTAGTCTTCTAAGCCATCTTATGAATTTAAATCTTCGCTCATATTGACAGCACCATCAAACATCCGCCCCAAAGCATACTAATGAGTCGATCAATCTAGTTAATAACATTACACGTGTTTGTCTTAGTCTGTTTCTAAAGTACTTTTTAATCATAGAATTAATTTAAGGCTCGCCCATGCTGACAGCGCACCGCCGTTTTCATATGTCCGCACGTAAGTACGTCATACGAAGCAAACTGTTGAGTAGTGAATGGTAAAAAATGAAACTAGTATAAAACAATTGGATGCACGCCGTCCTTCCTTACCAGCGCCTCGCGTGTGGGCTTTCCGGCGTCGGTTCCGCCTCCGCCCGTCGGCGAGCCGCTCGACACGCGGGCGTAGAACGCGGCTGCGGGGAAAGCGCGCGCGGATATCGGGCGAGCGGAGGACTGACGGACGGACGGGGGGACGGATGGACGTACGGGCGAACGGGCGGACGGTCGGACGGGCGGGCAAGCAGCAGGTGGGCGTACGGTCAAGCGGCGAGCAGCGAGCGGGCGACCGGGTGGGTGGGCGTGCAAGCGGACAGGAGGCAAGCGACGTGCGGGCTGGTGAGCGAATGGGTGAACGGGTAAGCGAGCAGCCGAGCGTATAAGCGAGCGGGCGAGCGAATAAGTGGGCTTGAGGGGGGAGAGCGGGTAAGCTAGCGGGCAGGCGGGGAGTGGGTGAGAGCTAGCGAACGCCCACGCGTGAGCGAGTCGGAAAGCGAGCGGGCGGGCGAATAAGCGAGCAAAAGGGAGGAAAGCGGGTAAGCAAGCAGGCCGGCGGGTAAGCGAGCAGGCCGGCGGTTAAGCGAGCAGGCCGGCGGTTAAGCGAGCAGGCCGGCGGTTAAGCGAGCAGGCCGGCGGGTAAGCGAGCAGGCCGACAGTAAGTGAGCAGGCCAGCGGCTAAGCGAGCAGGCTGGCGCCTGTGTGAGCAAATGGGCGGATGGGTGGGAGGAGAGTGGGTAAGCAAGCAGGCCGACAGTAAGCGAGCAGGCCGACAATAAGCGAGCAGGCCGGCGGTTAAGCGAGCAGGCCGGCGGGTAAGCGAGCAGGCCGACAGTACGTGAGCAGGCCAGCGGCTAAGCGAGCAGGCTGGCGCCTGTGTGAGCAAGTGGGCGGGAGGAGAGTGGGTAAGCAAGCAGGCCGACAGTAAGCGAGCAGGCCGGCGGGTAAGCGAGCGGCTAGCGAGGAGCGGGCAATCAGGTAAACGAGCGGCGAGCGTCAAGCAGGCGGACGTGCAGTCGGGCGGGCGGGACGTGCGGCGTGTCAGTGGGCGGGGGCAGAGCTCGCTCGTCACAGGAGGGGCCTTCCGGTGCCGCACGAGACCGGAATCGGGAGGCCTCAGCGCCCGAAGGGAAAAAAATGCCACTGGTTATGAAATGGCGAGCGACACACGCGCTCGCGTGGCCCGGTGACCGCGCACCAGGCCGCCTCCCGCTGCTGCCGCGGAAAACGCGTTCAGAAAAGTCGTTTTAGACGAGGGCGTCGTTGGCGGAGCGTTCTCAGCAATCTTTTCAAGTGCATCCAATCTTCTTGTTTTTCATAATTATATTCTTCACTATTGATGTAAACGAGATTTTATGAAGAATAAATGTACCCATCAGTATTCTTCTCGGCAGACATATGATGACACTGCTAATAAGAGTGTACCTTTTTGTCCCTTTCGTAAACTTAAATCGAACATTAAAAACAACACGACATAGAAAAGATTGAATAATTTTCTCTACCATGCACAAAACTCACTGGACTCTCTCATCCTAGATCATTTAGCAGCTAGTTACCTTCGCAGGGCCAATAGTTACACAATGTTTGGTCCAATCGTTACAAAGCAGCTACGATGTGATACAAGTTAAGTAAGTATTACTTACGTCAATATAATATATTTGTAATTAATTCTTTGAGTTGAATAGCTTTCTAAGTTCGTTGTCAGAGAGTAATATTGAATAAATGACCAACTTGACGTTTTTTAATCTATTGCCTACATCTGGTTAACTTTAAATTAAAAATATGTGGCCTAATGTAAAATTTCTTGTAGGTACATTTACATGATTTCTTTTGATATTCCCTTCCTAATTTTACGTGCTGGAGATGCCAATGCTATTAGGTCAGTTACCGATTGTTTTGACAAATTTGAACTGGTTGCATACAATTAGAGATTAGCGGAATATTTGAAGAATGATACAGTTTGTGCCAATATCGTCACTAAAAGAAATCTTGTGAGAATTAATGCAAATCATATGAAAAAAGGAAGAGAAAATGTGTGTGTGTGTGTGTGTGTGTGAATTAAGTCATGTCATGGATATACCGGACATGCTACAATAACCGAATCTCAAAGAGCCGCCCGAACCGAACTTATATTCCATTTTCAATTAAACTCGAATTTTACTAAATCGCCTGTCAATGTGTTTTGGCAGAAATTTGTGTGAAAATATTTGATTAGCTGAGTATGCAAACTTGTAGGTCCAACAAGTAACTATATAAACACTATCATTCATTCCTACCTGCAATCATTCATTTTGACACCAAGGATATTTTTGTGGGTACGGACAATTTGACTTATTCTATCTATTTTAGGCTATGAATGGCTGGGATTTCTTGTAAATTGAGAAGTGATAGCCAGTCGGAACACCAGTGGTTGCGATTTCTGTTTCTATTAAGAGCTCCGTTCTGTCTCAATTTGTCACGTGGTGGCTTCCGTTGCATTGCCAAAATGGGTATCAGAAACCTGTCCGACAATGCTGAATACCCAAGTGCATGCTAAAACCTTTGACCGCCTGGATTTAGAGCCCTTGACCTATCTAATTTCAACAGAGCAGGCATAAAATATTCGATGTCTTTTCGACAGTCGCGAATTAGGTCACATCGCACAGTCGGCTTGGCGCGAACGGTCGCTCCTGACCCGCACCGCCTGTGCCTCCCTGCCACCCGAGCCTCGTTTCGTGTAGTACAAAACGCACGTAATCAAAGCCGGAAGCAGTATCCCGGCGATTGGAGCGGTGCACGTAATTAAGCATATCGCGTTGTAGCGACAAGAGAGGGGAGCGGGCACGCGGGGGGTTGAGCGATGCGAGGATAAGAGAGGGGCGAGGCGGGGTTGGGAACGGAAGCGGGGTGAGAGCGTAGCAGAGGCAGAGACGGAGAAAGGGGGGGTGAGGGGAAAAAAGCATTTAGAGAGCGTAGGTGTGAGGGGGGAGGGGCATGAGAGGGGAGACAAGCAGAAGTGGGCGGGTATGGGGGCGAGGCGGAGGACAGAGCAAAGAGCACGAAGGCGGAAAACGGGGAGAAACGACAGTGACATAAAGGCGAGGTGGAGACTAGACTAGACGGGAGCGGACGCGTGGGAAGAGGAGGAAGGAAAAGAGGATTCGAGAGTGGGTCAGGAACAAGTGGATAGAGGGTCGGAAGCGGGTCGGGAGCGGGTCGGGAGCGGGTCGGGAGCGGGTCGGGAGCGGGTCGGGAGCGGGTCGGGAGCGGAGCGGGTTCCGGGGGCCGCAACCGGGACCAGGACAGGACAGGGAGCGGGCGCAACGGTGGAGGGAGTGTGGGCGGCGGTGCTGACCTCCGACCTTCCGCCGCTGCGCCCGCTGGTCAATGGAGCCACCGTCAACCCCCTCTCCCCCCACCGCACCTGCTCCACTGCATCGGAACGATTCCTTCAATAAAGCTCCCCTTCGGGACAGCCCGGGACTTTACGATCGTTTCCTCGTTGAAAACTGAGAAGGGCATTGGCAGGTCACATTCAAATTTACTGTTAATAAAAATTTAATTTCATTGAATATTCCACAGACATTCAACTTGCAGAAACGAATCGTATGAATAAGGAATACGCGCCTTCCATTTCATTCAGTCCCTCCTATCACAGAACTGCATATACTGCAATTGTTGTGCGTACACGTTTATGAAATTGTCGTTTTGTAAAATAACTTATTTCATTGAGGACAAGTGCTTTTGTTCAACTCGTATATTCCTGTACTCATATTCCTGTATGACGTAGTACTTCCATTGATCAAATTGCATTGTGAACATCGTATGACCATGAAACTATAACTTATGCAGTAATAATTCAGGCACAATTCTGTATAATACTTCACCGGTAAATATAAATATCTTGAAACTAAATATCAATTAATGAAAGTTGTAAAATATTTTCTTTTGCATAACACTTATGACACTTGATATTGCCAGGTGCTCTGTTTATACTGACTAAATGTTTATTCTTAGTTCTAACAATCGAGGTTATAGTTCAGATTCCCAGATATCCTGAGAGAGAATGACTAGTCTGTTTCGTTTTGATTTCACTAAATGAATGATTCATGTTTTATCTCTAAAAATTAGTGGCACATAAAAGTAATACTTTGACACATATTGAAACATTATATTCAATCTTCTTTTCATACCGACAATGCTGCATTATTACAAGATGGTACTCACGTTCGGTGAATTCTTTTCAGACCAAAAATTAAAAGATAAAAATTGTTTAAAAGTTCTGAATTTTCTCAATTAGCGGGGAATTTAAACTCTTGAGGAAGATTTCCACTACATTGGACCAAGGATTAGTCGGTGTCTTTAGTTATTTCTATTTCAAAGAGGTTTCACATGAAGAATTCCAAGACTTTAATTCCAGCTCTTTTTCGTTCACCATTCATTTATTCTAATATAGTTACATTTATAACTTATTCGAATTTTAATCATTGAAGAGTTCTTATGTTAATACATATTTCATATATCGGGGCAGTTGTTGAAAAAAATGTATTTTTTCAGTACATTCACTAATTCCTCATGTTTCTCTGCCAACAAACAGCATTATGTACTGAAATATTCTCCATTTTATCTTAATACTTAGCAGTATACTTAGGATTTTGCAGTATATTAAGACTTAGCAGTATCTAACATTTTTACATGAATTTGATTTATCAGACTAAAACAAATGATGACCTCTATAATTCTCTGTAGTAGCAGATATCGCTAACGAAATTTTAAAAAAAATTCCTATAAAATGGAAAGTGTAAGTGAATGAGGCCGATTGTGTTGAAATTACTTGGAAAACCTGTTCTATGGAACAATTTTACAGAAAATATCCTATTAATTGTGACAATAAGGAAGGAAATATATAATCTACTTTCTACATAAAGATTGTCAATAACAACTACATAAGAATGGAGATACCCGAAGTATTATTTTGTAACAGAAAAAAGTGGAAAGTAACGAAGAATTTCAATAACGTTCCTTGCATTTGTGGCTCCAAAACTGCATTTAGTTGCATCTATTTTAACGCGAAATATCTTTGCAGTGGCACGCATAAGTTTGCCGTGGGGAGAACATTTACACGGTTTTACTTGTATCATAACATACATTCTTGGATCGCGGATTTCCAAATTTAATAGTTGAATGAATTAAAATTTAAAAAATAATTCGCAAATTAGCTATTAGGATACAAATATATGTAAAAGCATGCCTAGATATTATAAAATTGGAATTAAATAGTTGTCTTATTGTTTTTGCACTATGGTTTCAAAATATTACTTAACTAAATTTTCTTCCTGCAAAATTCAATTTCCAATCAAATTTTCAATTCCGATTTCCTCACATGATACTGAATCCTGTAATGTAAAATATATATTACATAATCTACTGAGAACGAGAGGCAAATATGACTTTTGGGGGAGGGAGAATCAATGTTTTAAAAGTAAAGTAGTTTAACATTACCGTATTTTTAAAGGAGCGATATTGCAGTAAATATTTATTGACTGAATATTCTATTCCTGAAACTGAATTTGTTTTCCTTTTGCTTCTGGCAGAAAATTGTGCCATCCTAGGGAATACATTTATTTTCTCCGCGACAGAAAATATCATTTAGGAATCACATTTCGCTCAATCGTGATGGATTGAAATATCCACAAACTGTAGACTTTATGATTCTGAATTCGGTATCGGAATAAATAACTTCATTTCCCAGCGGTTCCTCTGTGGGGAGCCTACCGCCACCGGGAACCACATCCGCCACCTCCCCCTTCCACTCCTCCCTCCGACCGAACTCGCAGAATAACATCAAAGACCGTCAAAGGGAAGGTTTACTTCACTTCCCTTCAAAAACTGCACCAAGCATCTGCTAATGAGACCGGGAGGAGGGAGTTACATCACAGGAGAAATGTGATTAATGTTAACTGTTCATTTTGGTGCATTTGGTCTGGTATTTTACAGTTTCCTCAGAGTATCATATTTACATCTATAACAGACCAGTTGATATCCCTTTATTAGCGTCAAACAAAATTAACGGAATTATTAGAAATAAACTAAAATAGCAAAATGCGTTGTTAGATCATAGTGTTTATCTGCATTATTGTACACTGGTATTACACGACATTCAAAATGATGCCTTTAAAATTCTTATAAAAGATATGTTGTTTTCGTTGAAAAAAAAATTATACGATGGTAAATAAACTACAAAATAAAATAGAATCTTCACAGTATTTTACTTGTAAAAGCTTACATAAACTTATGAAACATTTGGAAAATGATTACATTGATACATTGAATTATAGACGTGAAAAAATATATTTAAAAAAAATGTATATCTATTTTTACGTAAGAATTTTCAAGAATTACCAAAAATCGAGAAACTAAGAGTATTTCACGCAAAATTCATTCATAAAATTCAAAATAATACGTTATAGTATGGTAAAATAAATACAAATAATTAAAATAGCTTTAACTGCAACACGCGCACATGCAACGCAGAAAAGAATTTCCTGATTTCTTTCCATATTTTGCTTATCAGCTCGATGATATCATTGCGGTAGAATGAAGCAAGAAACATATGTCGCCGCTCAAGATCCGTAGACACACACACACACAAACAGAAGTTGGCTTTCTTTGCGCTCCCAACAGATTGCAGCCACCGAGTCGGAAGATTAAGGCAAACCGGCTTAAGGCCTTAAGGGCCCGGGGCGCAATCTGGTTACGTTCGCAAATTGCGCGGGATTACAGGAGCGATCTCGCCGCCTTCCAATCCGGCGGCGCAGCGTTGCCTGCAGGACGGAGAGGGGGCAGGGGGGGGACTGAAAGCCAATGAGGGGTTAATTCCCCCGCGATCGTTTTAGTCTGGGATGCGACATTTCGAGTCGAGTCTTCGAATGCTCGCATCGCTCAGTCCCGGGAATCCTGAAAAATGCGAGATTTTATTCCAGGATGATTTATCCTTTAAGCTCTTTGAACCCTTCGAACGTTCGACTTTCGAATTTAGGTTAGTCTTCCTACTCCACTATAAGCTTAATAATTTTAAATTTTATTAGTTTAATATTGATCACATAACGTAAATCATGCTGAAACTTAACTCCGATTAACTATTTTTTAGGTTACAAGAACGAAGGATTATTTATATGATTTAATTACTGTAAATTCTATTCAGGAAATTGACAGTTTTATCATTCATCTTAGCGACACTATTTGAATACTTTCAATCACTTAAATTATTATATAAAAATGATTCCAAAAATTCCAGATTAGAAAAAGGCGGATGAAATGGTTCCGGAAAGCCAGGCGACACAAGGAATGTTAACCCGTAGTGTTTTAAGAGAAGGGAAAATTGATAAATGCACATGCTCAGTGCATTGTGTTACTCAAATGACTATTCGACACACTTACTAAAAATATGTTTTTTGTCAACACTACATCGAAACTACATAGTACGTTGCATTATTTATATTGCGGAAAATATCTGATAGGCTTAATTCATACATACAACCTTTTCCATTTTCAATTCTAAGTACTTGTCTTATCTTTCATCATGCGGAGTTTCTGATACGTCAGAAATACAACTTTAAAGACAGTCGCGTTATGTAAGCCCCTACCATGAAGACCCGTCACTTCCTGATCATTCAAAATCAGAGTAGTAGAAGAAGAAGATAGAGGAGAACGAGGAGAACAATAAGGAAGGAAGGTGCGAAAAAGGACAAGAAAAAGCCGGAAATAAAAATAACACTTGCCAATCACACAGTAGTATGGTTTCACACCCTACTTGCGGACCCACAACGGATATCATAGATCCCGTCTACTTCCATTATCCCTTCATATTTACCCCTGCCAACAACACGGCTGTACGAAACGAGCCAGACGCCATCAACGTGCGACAAGCATAAAACTCGCGCCATGCGCCCTTAATCAAGAAACGTGTGGGGCATCTTTGCCTCGAAGAACAAATCTAGCGGCGACGTGCTGCGGTGGTTTACGACGGGAAGGCGCCGAGCTATGTGTACATTATTCAGAGGCGGCGACGACGACGACGACGACGGTGCGGCGGGGAACGTCACTACAATGGTCTTTGTGCAAAGGCTAGATGTGGTTCCGCGAGTTGCAGAAAAATTAATGAAGCATTGTTCTGAAAAATGTAAAAAACTATTTGAATATTTTGTTATTATTTGCGTAAAAAATAATCTAAGAAGCGACTATTCAGTTGTGGAAAAGTGGAATTACACGACATTTAACAAGGAGGAGGTTGTTCATGCCAATTTTAGGTATACGCATTCGCACCATCATTGGGTTTTGCAAAATTAAAAAATAAATAAAAAGCTGTTAAAAAACTGTGTCTGCAGGCTGGCTTTTTTTGTAAGTTCTATAGAATCACTTGAGATACGAGCTGCAAACAGTAATCGTAGTTTCAGCACGAAGTATTTCTTGTAATAATACATGGAAAGTTAAGAGTGTAATAATTTTTGTACGCCTCACAATAATGTGTAATATTTACATGTGAAGCGCATAGGCAAAAGTCTTCAAAACCACACACTTTATCATGTAGACATCGAAGTGATATACCTCCATAAAGTTTCGCAAATAATACTTTTTGAAAGAACAAAATGTAATATTACAAGCTTTAATAGTATATGCACTACGCTGAGGAAAATAAAAGCGTTCAAAAACAAATAAAAGTAAAAGTTTGAAATTAAAATGTGCACATTTCATAAGTTCGGTGCTTCTGGACTTTACAGCTGGAATATTTGAGTTCTTAGACTGTCCTCTTTCTAACGCAACAAGCAATGGGCGTGTATTTCTTTCTAACACGATAAGCTTTCAGTACTTATTGGATCAACCCCTTGGAGATTCACATTTTTATACTTTTGCGCTTGCCGAACGATAATCTCTCAGCGCTTTTTGGATTGTTCATCCACATATCAAAACATTAAAAAGTGCAGGGGAGAAGAATAATTATCTGCTTGTAGATTGGTAGACTTAGAATTTCGTCTAAGCTCTAGGTACTTATCGTCTGCGCTGCTGGAAGATTCGATTGTTATACTTCTCATTTTCCCTCCACGCTAAGCCCGTAAGCCGTGAGCGATTAGCAGCAGCACTGCCGGGAGACATGCGACGCACCCGCTCGTGGCTGTGGCCGCGTGCAGCCGTGGCGGCGAGCAATCAGCGGCGTGGCTGTGCCTCTCACCGGATAGGCCGCCTGGAGTTATGTCACGTTCGCCGATCGCCGACGCCAGGTCGCACGAGAGCGAAAACAGGAAAACAAGGACGCGCTATTTATACCCTCTTTACGGCAATTTCCTAGTTCCCATATCGCGGCTGCTTATCATCGCCAGCCACCTGTTGGGCTCGACCGGCGGGCGGCACATGAACGTTTGGACGTTGTGGTCGAGCGTACCTGAATGTGCCAAGGGAGTGTGTTCAATTCGTTTGTTCCCTGAGATTGTAAGTATTATTACGGAACGCGTCAACCCCTTATGTTATTAGTCCCGTAAGTACAATGCATGTTTGATCCAAGGGGGTTCGGGTGTTGTAAGTGACATCCTGCGCATACCTATCCGTCGGTTGGCAGTGTTATTCCTTTTCCTACTTTCTTCGCCAGAGGGGTTCTTCTCCATCTGCGACAGTCTCTAAGTTACCGACTGGCCATCCGACTTGTGTGTGTGTATGTGTGAAAGGGAGGGAACATGGATTATTAAGGAAAGATCGTGCGCGGTTCTTGATGCGTTCATTATATATTTGGTATTATCCGTTTATCATGGCTGCTCCGATATTCGCCGAGGACTGGTACACGGAAAGCTCCTGATTAGAACAGCCGGCCACTAGAATCCTCCTCCAGACAGTGGTTAATTCTATCCAACTATGTAGCCAGTGTTCAAAATCCGCCACAGTTGGTACTCGATCCTCAGAAACCCTCAATCGACGAGACAACAAAGGCAACGGTGGTGAAACTGGGCTCTCAAACCCGACTTATTTGTTGCCTGATTGCGCGAATGAAACAGAGCACAGTTGAGGTTTCACAGTATATTTTGTCTGTACTTTGCAGGTTTGTTTCCACCCTAAAATCTTTTGAGCCTATCAACGGTGCTTGTTTATCAAAGAACCGTGTTGTGGTGAGCACCAAAGAACAGTTTCTGGGGTTGGGACATGGGTTGTTGGTGCAGATTGTGCTGTGCTTGGATACATTTGGATCTGAGTGTAGGTTGTTTGGGATGGGCACGTGGCATTGCCATGGAGCAGTTACTTTGCAGATGGATTTGCATGAATTATCTGCTTCTACCATCAACCATTTTTTTCCTCCATTGCGGTAAGGAAAGATAAGTATATATTTTTTACTGGTATTTGGTCTAGTGCGCGTTAGTAATGTCTCCATTATGTATCACGTTTTTATCCAACTGTGCGACGGAACGAGGGTAAAAATTGTTTTTCGTGAAACTCACGAGTTTCTTCTGAAACGATAATTATTTACTATTATCGTAAGAATGATAAGTTAATTAAAATTATTAAAAATCAAAACCAATTTACACTTCCAGTAAATAAACGTGTTTAGACGAGTCTTTTTTAATAAATGATATTTGTTTACCTATCAGATTGAGAGTTTAGGGAAACGTACAATGCCTTTATTCCGTAGCCAGATCAATCTCATTTCGGCTGTAGCTGTACCTGCTTGCTATGGCATGCATGTTCAAATGTGATAATGAAGTTGGTTTATTAATAGTGTACAGATAAAGTATCATTAACGTGAGTATGGTGGTAAAATGAAAAGCAGGAGGGCCGGGAGAACTTGAAAACTTACCGCGAAGGGGTGTGCCTATTACAAACTCCAGACATCAACGCTCATGACTTCAACCTTTTAGCCTGATATGATTAGCTAACTCACCGCTTCGGAACGTTCAAAGAGTGTCCTTATTTGCTTGGGTATATCGTAACACAATTGTACGTTTCATACAACCGAAGTACCCTGGGTCAGTTACCTGACGGTGTGAGAAACTGAATATTCCATGAACATCAAGAGAAAGAAGAATTAAATTGTTAAAAAAATGTTCTGGAATGAAGCGAATATAAGGGTGCATCCAGAATTTAGTTCTGTATTACTTTTTGATCCACATTCCCACATAACTATAACGTTTAATGTTTTGCCACAATCCATTATTTTTAAATTTTTCGTCCTTACTTTGTAAGAGAAAGTGTTGTAATCGTGCGCTGGAAAACGGCGAATTTTCGACAGAAAAACTCTTATTGCCGTACCCTGGCATTAACAATGCATTTTGAGCGTAGTTTTTAATACCTCTAGAGGTACCAATGAAATTTAAGTAAAAACGTTAAAAATTCCAAATTAGCAAAAACTAGCGATGGCGCTTTTTACCTCAGAGGTACAGAAATGGAACATTCAAATGGATTTTACCGCTTCTCTTCCTTCTTTCAGAATTTGCCCTTCAGCAGATGTGTTAATACCTAAGCCATTGAAAACTGCACAACACTCAAATGATTATAAAACACGTTAGCGAAGAAGAGGCCAACTTACTATTTCAAGGCACACAATAAGTCACCGCATATCTATATTCACCGTTTTCGTTTACTAGAAATAGCACACGCGTACGTGAAGTTGCCATGTTTTAAGTCGAAAGAATATATTTATTCTCATAGTTATTAGAAGTGTAAATTAAATCAAAAAAATAAATAAATGAATCGAAGAATGAATCAAATCAGCGAATACTTGTTAATCCTCCATTTAACATGAACTGAGTCTGATAGTGCAGGAGCTGATTACATAGAACGAATGTTTAGCCCTCGCCATTACTGTGCTATCGCCTATAATTTCAGTCATTTTATTTCAATGCGCAATACCTAGAAATGCATTAAACATATTGTTCACTTTCCTTTTTATTTACGGTCGTTTGAAATCTCTCGTGGAATTTACTATTTCGCGTTTTTTGTAGTGTTTATAAAAAAACTTCTTTTTTCGCCGAAAAAGAAAACTCTTCCTGTTTTTTTCTCATTTTGTCTAAATGTAAACTACAGTTCGAGGAATAATACATAACCGTGGAATCTCTTTAATCTTTTATATACTCGAAATGAAATGGTTTCCTTGAAAGAGACATTGCGGGTTTGCCTTCTTGCTTTATTCCACTCTTATGTAAATGTCCATATAGCGAAATGAACTAAATAAATGAAAATATTCACAAAATAAACACAGACCGAATTTATCTAAGAGCCAACACTGCCGCTGCCTTTGCGACGACTCTGGCCGGGAGGCTCTAGGGTTCGAGTCCCGACGGTGGCGGACTGTGGAGCTAGCTTTATGGCCATAATTCTGGCAGCTCACTTATTTGATCGGTAGTTTACGTGGTTTCTCCGATCGATAACAGGCCAAGCTGGAGCAGTACTCTAATAAACGTGACAAGAACCACACGCGTACTTTTCTTCCTATTCTTTGAAACATTATCACTCTTGCACACACACACACACACACACACATTCACTTGACTACCACACATGTCGGGAGACCAGTCGGCGGTATAGAGTTTGTTCCAGCTTCAGCAGTGCCCCATTGGGGGAGATATCGAAAGGGGAAAACTCCGCAAGCCGACCTGTAGGTCTCACCATGTAGGAGGGGAAGAACACAGTCGCTGTCGAGCTCGGTCACATCAATCAATCACAAAATAAACAATTTATCCATTTCGTAAATCTATCAAAACATCAAAAGCTTCAACATGCAGTGCGTAATTGAAAATTGTAATCAATGTCCTTAAATTTCCCGATATAATTGTTTGCGGGAAAATCCAGTGATGCAATTTTATAAGATTGTAAAAAACATTCTAATTACAGTCACAAAAGGACTAAGTCTCTTTTAATTAATTTTGAGCGCAATCAATTAGTTCATGGACGTTTCAATTACACGTTATGCATCTCGTTCCAAAGCACTGAACGAAAAACTCCCTGTCAGATACAAGGTAAAGTAACAAAGAAAAATTAAATGAATTGACCCATTGAAAATCTTTTAGTTTTGAGGCATTTAAAGCTACCTATTTTATTAAGAATTGAATATAAGAATGCACAATAGATGCTCCTGGGTCACTTTAGAATGAATGCGTTAAATCTTAGAAACTGAATGGGTATAAAAATGAAGTAAATAAATGTCATTATTGGTCAAAAAAATTGAAAGAAGAGTATATTTCCTTATATCACCAATAATAAATTTCAAAGATACATAAAACACATTACAATTACGTATTTTCTTGGTAAAAATTGGAACTTCCCATCAGAGTTCCTTAAAAGATGAACGCGTTAACTTGTCTTCACAAAATGCAAATCATTTCCAAACATTAGATACTGATGCATTAATTAATATCAAAGAAATCCCATTAATGTATTTTGATTTTCGAAAGGCCAAGGTACGGAAGAGTAAGTGACAAAAGGATTTAAATGTGAAATATTTGCTTTCTCTAAATCTTACACATCAAAAACAATATTTCCAGAATATGCCCTTCAATCCTGGAAACAACGGGGCGTCATGGAGAAGCTATTGTTTGAGTTTTCTGAAGGAAAAGAGATTGAAAGGAATGGCACGAAAAGAAGAAAACTAAAACATGTTGCGCCACCGAGAAAGTGCTTTTCATTTTTTGCTGCTTTGATTGGTTGTTCCGTTACAATGGAAAGTGCTCTGCTTAATGCGTGCTCTTCACTCAGCAAAAACATTCACGAAAAGGGTTTCTCGTCCTGTGCGAGCTACTAAGGGATGCTAGATAGTTGCACATCTGCTGCCGTTTGTTTAGAAAAGAATATTTCCTCGTAAACGAAAAAAAAAATTATTCGAAAATTGTATGTTTTTACAAATAAACATTTTATATTGCGCGTTTAAAGATATCTGTTATGTAGAGAAAAAACGCAGGTTTTGGCTGTAAAATAAATTTTCTTCCTTCAGTTATAATTCTTCTCCAGCAAAATCAGAATTTTTCGTGTCACTTTCCTTATGTACCGACTATAAGCAAATTTTCAATAATACTGGCAGAGGTGGGTCGACGCATCAACTGATGCACAGAACTGATGCTCTGACTGGGAGGTCCTAGGGTTCGACACCCTACGATGGGAGAATTTTTGACACTGTCTTGCTAAGTCGAATTCAACTGCTCTTAGGAGGAAAATTCGGCGGCTCTGATTGATAGTTTTTCATGGTTTCTCCGATCTTATCACGCAACAAATAGGAGAAGTACACTAACAAATGGGCCATGGACCGTTCGTGATCATTCTTTCTTTTTTGTCCTTTCCTCCCCATTACTTACACAATTACATGCACTACACTACCACATATGTCGCGCGATATGTGAGGAGAGAGCATAGGCCGAATTTTCCTTCTAAGAGCAGTTGAATTCGACCTAGCTAGACAGTGTCGAAAATTCTCCCATCGTAGGGTGTCGAACCCTAGGACCTTCCAGCATAAACATAGATAGGTCAGGAGCTTAGAGCTTCACCCGGCTCGGGTGGCGCTTTCCTGGAGGGAGATACCTGGATGAGGAAAACCCCGCAAAGCGACATGTAAATCGGTGTTGGGTCTCACCATCCAGCGGGTGAAGAACGTTCCATTGTGATATAACATTACTACACTTGCGGTAATGACAATATCCGTTGACGCGCCCATAAATACGAAGTAATTAATAAATCAGTTCCCAATAATGATACAGTCTAAGTATTTCAACATTTGAGAGATGCTACAAATACATATTTTCTACATCTTCATATTTTTTACACATTATTACACCATTTTTTGAGAGCAATTATTCATATGTAAGTTAAGCTTTATTGAATCGCTTACATCACCAGCAAAAAGTAGAAGCGCACTCGCCACTACGAATTTATTTGCGCACTCCGTGTTTATCATTTTCTCAGCATTTTTATATCACTGTTCACTTTATATTACTGCTCTAAGTTAATGCACTTTCAGAAATGGTAAATTGTAGAATTACCACGCATGATGCTAATTCCCGTGTTGCAAGAACTAAAGTACCAAATTACTTCAATTACCACTGTACCTTACTTTTATTACTATTACATTAATTTCCACCTGGTCATTTTAGGGAGGCGAAATGCTCAGAAGTCAACTACAGTTTTGTCTCTTAAAAATAGAATTTTTCTTGTTCTTCTGGAGTTCAAAATGTAACTACCAAAATGACAACTGATTTGCAACAATGTAGTTTGTC